TCTTGAAATTGATGGCCAACTCAGTGATAGGATAGGATAGAATACACGAGCCAAGAAATAAAATTTAGAAAAAAAAGTATTCAAAGTCATAAATGACAATTTCTAAATTATCGATCAATTAGCATACAAAAAGACTGTCGATGATGTCATAAAATTTAGGTAAATTATTAAGATTAAGAATATAATATCTCGAATTGCAGAACTTCACGCTAACGAACAAAATTCAAGACTAAGAAACTTAACTTTATTGCTTATGTTTACATAGTTTTCGTAATTTTTACTTCTAAACCACATGTTTTTGTTCACATTTCCCTGTAAAACGATATGCAACGCGTCTCCCCATTGTGTGTTGGGGGTTTCTATTCCAAAAACCAAAATGACGAAAAAAAAGAGACTAAGAAACTCTTCACCACTTCACGATAAAAATTGTGTAAGACGAGCTGGTTACTTTTATGAGAAATGTAAAAAGTCCGTTTGCCTGGAAAGTATGAAACCATTTCATTCATAATTTTTTATTTATTTCAGGCTATTAAATGATACTTTCCCAATTTGATTTGTCGAAAATCTAATTCCCAGCGATAAGGTCATCAAAAATCTATGTCTCCACGTACGCATATATTACATATATATGTATTCTATATATATATATATATATGTCGGTCATATATATTCCTAAAAGGAACAAGAACAAGGAACCTACACCAAAAGGGAATAAGAACAAGCAACCATATATATATATATATATATATATAAAATGAACAGATTTAACTATATACCAACTCAGCTGAGTTTGGAAGTTAATATACCGGAAATTTATTAACGATGCAAAATACTGCAACTCCTTTGTAATCAATTTGAAATTTGCATTTAGAATGTATCTGACAAATCATCAATAACTATATATATATAAATATATCAATTGAGCAAAATTGCATAAACCTAATCTGAACAGAAGATTGGTTCTTTTCCAAAGATTTTTTGCTTTCACTGGCTTTAAAATCATTGAAAACTTTCCAAAGACTTCTTGGTAAATACTCGATCTCAATAAACAATCCTTTTCTGATGAGATTCTCATACTGCTAGCGCGAATAACTAATGCCCGGTTGATAATTGTGTCTTTTATATAAGCAATACAAAAGCATCCAATCTACTGCCAGTTTGTGCTGCTGCTCTATATCACACAAATTTTTTAATGCGATTAACAAATCGTTTTCGCATTTATATTCAATCTCTGGATCCTTTTTGTACTTTATATAATCGAGATAAATTCTACAAATATTGCTAAAATTATTTGAAATATATTTGAAAAATTTTCTCAACTTTTAGGTAAGGCACTCACATAAATGATTGACCTCCTTGACCTTGCTCATTTAAGGGCTTCTGTATATAATCTGTAGCTGAAATATATTCTTCCAGTTCAAGATTATAAATGAACATGTAAAAACGAAGCATTGACGCATTACTAAATAGGTCTTTCAACTGAAATAATATACACTATTTTATAAAAATTTTTTTTTTAAATTAATATAAAAATGTAAACATAAGCGTACTCTGCGCATTAGGCATTGGTACATATCACAATTACCGATCGCACGCATGTATTTTGCAAGAATTACTTGATCTACAAGAATATTTTGTTCGTTGGAAGGGATTATAGGTCAGTTTAGTAATGAGTCGCCGCAGTTGACATTGAAGTTGCTGAGAAGAACGATTCTCACGACTTATTTCGGAGACATCATCTTTTATTAGTTGTTCATAGAGAGTTAAGGTTAAAGGTGAATCGATGCATGCTTCAATATCATCGTAGGCATCCTGATCCAGTGATTTTATGCTTTGAAAAGCTGGGCTTGAAGTAGCTTCAGCTAATTGTATAAAGCGCGCTTCCGGGTCGAAAAGACTCCAAAACGCTTATAACCAAACCAATAACTATTCTATTCACGTTTTATACATATCCCATTGCTTTCTTAATCAATACTAATAAGTCACAAAATAAGCAGCGTTTTAATGTTTCCATTTTAAAATTGACTGAAAATTTCAGAATGAAATATTGTAGCTAGTAATTTTTGCTTGACTTCACTCGGTATTTCAGGTTATTGTTTAATTGGGCACATGGACAATTGGTCTCGAATTTTCTATGCTAAGAAATCTCGGAGGTATTAGTAACCTTAATGACAATTTGCTCACATTCCAGCAAATTAATTTTTCAATGAATATTTTTCTATCTCTTAAGCTAATTTGGCAAGCAAGTACATCCGAACGTACTTTCTAATCCTTAAATACCTTTGGAAGCAGATGTTTTAGAGGTTGCGAGACGACGCTGTTCTGGCTATGTTGGATATTTTTACTTTTTAAATACTCTGCCTTGGCTGGTGAAAAGGATTTTTAAAGTCTGCAAAACTGGTCCCACTCTTTTATAACAGCCTGTATTGTTGTATGTAATATAATTTCCACATATTAATGAAACAAACATTCATACCATGAACCATAAACAACAACAATGACTGATATGTTTAATTGCAATTAAGGTCGATATGGAAAAGAAATTTTTACGGACAAGATAAGAAAGACGATATTATCTATTGTGCGTGTTTCGATCAGGTTTTACAAACCAAATTTCACTCTTCAATCGCGCAGGCAGAGAAAGAAATGAAAGGAAGGAAAATCAAATTATAGTTTGGTCTATTGCATCGGTTCAACATCTCGTCGGTCTTAACTCTCATTACACCACAAACAGTCTATCTATCTATCTATCTATCTTTGAGAATAAGCATATTCGTTCTCATTTGTTTTGCATGTATTGTGCCGCTTTGAGAATAAACGTATATTCGTTCTCATTTGTTTTGCATGTATTGTGCCGCTTTGAGAATAAGCATATTCGTTCTCATTTGTTTTGCGAAAAAAAGATTCGGTCACCAATATAATCTGCTATAGCCCTTTATTTTTTGAAGTTTTGAAGAATGATTCAAGATATAGTGATATATGTATTTTGTTTATAAAACAACTACTGAAATAATTGATTCGATTAAGTGGAAATCTATTACAGGATTCGAGCTTTATAAGAGAAATGATCCTTTGACATTTCCTTATCAGAACACAACTTTATGATAGCCGAAATATGACAAGTATAAGGAATTGATTTATATTCGTGTTAATTTAACGAGAATGAGTTCGCAAATAGCCTGGTGATCCGCAAGTTGAAAAGTCATGGGAACAAACAGTAACCCAAATCCAAACTATCCTTTCCTATATATATATATATATATAAATATATATATATATATATATATATGCGCTTCGAAGTCTGAACCCAAAAATAGTGAAACCCCTCATTGCATCAACCACCAAAGGAAGACACGAATTATTTGAATATATGTCATTATTATGATTATAAAAAGGTCCTTGAAAAAAGCAAAGTAAGCGATTATGCAGCCGATTACACGGTTTGCCAATACACTTGTTTTACACGAATTCTTTCTTTCTGGTCGTATAGTATACTTTCTGGTCGTATAGTATACTTTTCTGTCGTATAGTATACTTTTCTGGTCGTATAGTATACTTTTTTGGCCGATGATGAAGACGAAATGGAATGAAATTGGAATTTGGAGATAACGCGTAAATCGCAAATGCCATCCTACAAATCTTCTTAAGTTCGTTCGGAGCATTAAACTGCGATATGAAAATCCGACTGTAAACAAACGAAGTAAAAAGACAATAATGTCGTTTTGTATACTCTACTGGAATAAATTTGAAAAACGCGAATATTATGAAGGATGTAAAGAACTAAAAAAATTATATTTTATTAAAATGAACTTGTCTGCCTCCGTTTATTCCTTAAGAATAAAAATTCCTTTTTTTACATCAAAATGTACGCAAAAGTAATCGCATATGATCTTAATATTTAAAATGTAAACAATAGCAGACGCACGACAAATTTAAACAAATATTAGAATTTGCAACATAACCATATGGGTTACTAGTGGCAACTACTGTATACTACAAACAAAGGAGCATCGTTTCCTATGTGCGCATCAATTGATTTGGTTTTTTTTTTGAAACGTGCAAGTCTGCAATACGTATAATCTTTTCTTACTTTGATTACCTGGTTGGAAATAGGTAACATCTAAACATATTGAAAAGATTGAATGCTTATAGCAATAAACAATTAGAATAAAAAATAAAAATCTCTAAATTTGATAATAAAAGTTTTTCAATAAATTTCAAATTAGATAACAACATTATTATTATTATTATTATGAATTTCGCCAGAGAAATAAATTCTAAGACTAAACTCTTAAAAGCACTAACATCTAAGGCTATCGGCCTTTATTAAAAACTCTACCGCACTTGAGATTCGAACCCACGACCACTGAGTTGCTAGTCGAGACTCTTGCCTACTCGGCCACCCAGGTGGATAGATAACAACAATTTGCTTGTTTTGAAAGAAACTTCTCTTTTCTTTGAACGTACGGTTTTGAGCGTTTTTTATTTTCGTATAAAACTTTGTCAACTTCAATCGAAGCTAGAAATGTTGAATAACCTTACAAGCTTGCAATGCCCAAATTTTCGATGTGTGTTCAAAGAGTACTGTCATTATGTTTAACTCATGCGTGAAAGCCTTAGAAGTAAGAATATATATTATATTATTATATTATGTGTTGTCATCTAAGGGTAATTGTTCAGACTTTGACGCTTAAGTTACCATTATTAAAAGCGAAAAACCTTATAGATCTTTCTATATCATTGTATGAAAACTTGAAATGTATCTATTCCACAAGCTGACTTGATGATTGCAAAAACATCTACATAAGACATTGCAAGCCGTTTTCATTCTTTTCTCAGCTTAAATGCCATTTTCCCCAAAGTTAGCAACACTTGGTTAGGTCGTTGAAAATTCTAACAGATATTCGGTATCGATTGCAGATAAGTTATCGCATATAATAAAAAAAGTTATCGATAATATTCAATCTTTATGATAAACATCTGGAATTCGTGTCAAAACTTAGCAATAATTGATGTAATAACTTTTTAAAATAGTTTTTGCCGAGAGTAAAAATAAAAATCGTCAAAATTACGGAAAAAAAGTTTAACTCAAAAATGCCGCCCGCGGGGTCAAATAATAATACCTCGAACGCGAATGCGGCAATACAGGCAGCTGCCAAGGCAGAACGGGAAGAAAAGCTTCGCGGTGCCCTTAAATCTTTTATAATGAAAGAGCGGCAACGCAAGAAAGAAGGTTCATTTATCAAAACAGCGTTGTTTTTTCGTTCTATTTGAGTAAATTTTCTGAACGTTTTTATTTTTTATAGAATTCGAAGCTAAAGTTGAAGAAGAACGTCAACGCAAAGAACGGGAGGCACGCGAACGGCAAAATGACATGACATTGGAAGAAACTCGTGGTCAGATTGTTAAGTTAGAGCAAAAATTATCAGAGTTACACAATCAGAAACAGCAATTATTCCTACAACTCAAAAAGGTTTTGAACGAAGATGAAATTCGGAAAAAGCAACAAAAGGATAGTGAAATGATTGCTATGCAAGCATTGCAAGCACAACAGGCAAATGCGCCGCAGCCACAGGTATTTTTACCGCCTATAAGAGTGCAACATCATCAAATGCCTATGTTAACAAAGGTACGCTAAAAAGCCGAATTAACCACTTAATACAATGAAGTACACCTTTTAAACTATTTTCAGCCCGTTGGTAATCCACCAGTGAAAAGAGGACGGAGTCCGTCCCCAACTCATCAAGGATATTATAAGACTGCAAATTACGGTCAGTCCAGTACGTATATATTATTTATTGGCAATTAGATAAATAAGTATTAATTTGTGTTTTCAAATTTCAGAGCACGATGATGGCCGCCGCAATGCTGATTACGCCAGAGTTTTATGGAACAGTAAGTCCAATGTCTTGCTTAAAACAAATGTTAAGTTTTTCACTTAATATTATTAACTCAATACAGAACCGCACACTACATACCAGAGTCCAGGGACGCTGTTTTATCAAACAACGAGTAACGGGCCTCCCCCACAACAACCGCCAGACGCACGGGGACCTGCTCTAATTTATACGCCTTATAATCTACCAATACGTCAGGGCTATCATATAGAGTTGCCTCCCGCGTCGTCGGTGCCCGTATCTAAAACTGATGCGTCGAATCAAAAGCCCACTCAGGTGTATCACATTAATTTAGATCAGCCGCCAATTTCGCAAGCCGGTGGTAATGGACACAGTGTAGTGCAATCACAAAAGCCTCAAATAACGATGGAGAAAATAAGTGATCGTTATCACGTTGAAGTGAAACACGATGCACATGGACCTCCCCCGCCTCATCCTTTACCGGACAGCGTAGTGTATACGCCCTTAATACCAGGAATGCCTCTACATCCTAATGTTATGCAAATAAGTGCTCCTCCACAGGTGAAGGCCATGTTTTTGTGTTTAAAAGTTTTACTATAACCATCTTTGATTGTTAGAATCCCAAAGCTGGTAGTAGCATAACTCAAGGATACGTTCCAGCACATGAAACGCAGATACCACGTCAACAGTTAACAGTAATACCAGGACAGCCAGGTCAACAGCCCCAGCAATCCATTCATTACCAGCGCCATATGTTTTGATCTTACAAATTTCATTTCAAGTGGAGAACCCAGGTGACTGATTGTATTAATTGCACTATACATATAAGTTTAAGATTATTTGTAACCGTATTGTTTGCCGACAATATATTTCTACTGAGAATATTTATTTTAATGTAAACCTAGTGAAAACGTACAACGTGTTCTTTTTTATAATTTCATGGTTTTCCATTCCGATAATTTAAAAATTTGTATACGAAATGTATGTTTTTGAATTTGTTGTAAAATATGTGCAAAAAAGAAAAAAAAAGTAAAATAAGTAAAGAAAAGTTAAGTGAAATCTTGTGACGAATTTTTGTTTTATTATGAATATTTCGCAGAATGGATAAAAAAATAACATTTCATTAATGAAAGAGTTCGAACACGCACTGAAGATTCCGTCCAGCATAGCTTATTCCATTGCTCCGAATTTTAAGGGCCAAAACCGCTCAGAAATGGCGAAAGTTTAAGTGTTCACTTAAACTCGAAATTTGATTGTAAAGAGCAAAAACAAAAAAAAAAATAACGATGTTAGAGCGATGACGATTTGTGCCTCGGCATTAAAAAGTGCCAAAATCTGTTCTTTCAAAATCATTTCCTCGATTGTGTGCGCTTTTGCATCAGGTAGATTCTTGTATTGATATCTTAAATGATCTTAACAAATATCTGCCTGCAAATTACAAATTATAGGTTTTCGTTTATTGTGAGTTTGATTCGTGATTATTAAGAAATACCCGGCTCTTATGTTATAAAAGTTTAATTTTAAATAAAAAAATGTGCTGGCAGCCAAACTATTATACGTGAATTGCTTTCACTCGATATGGCATATGGATTATACAAATACATGTTTAATTATTGAAAAATGTAAACAAATGTGTGGAAGCTTATTCTCACATGGTTGGCATTTTTACAAATTATTAAGAACATATACGGCTTATTCTTATAAAGCGCGGTTAGATAATACGCTTATATTCTCTAAAGCGCCATTAGACATTTTGGCAGTTGAGCCGCGGAATACCAAATCTGGATTGCTGACATCAACTAACAGTTTATATGATATGTTTTCTTCCTCCTACCTCCACAAGTGTTACAAAGAGAATATGTCCCTAAGTTTTCGGTGATGAATTCGGGAAACGCTTGAATATTATACAAGTCAAAGTGAGCAAACCTCACAACACACAACAATGCTTTTCAGTATCGCCCTTGAGTTTAACATCAGATCAAATGCGTTTCAACGACAACAAATTCGGATTAAACGTTGCCTTACCATGAAAAGTGTAAGGAAACATTTCAATTTCCATTGCTTTTGATGTTGCATTACATTCTTGATCTTCTATTTACTATATAACTGTTAATAAGTGAGTCTCAGCTTATGAAAAGCCGCCAAGCAAGAGAGATTTATTTCTCCAACGATAATGGTAAGAAATGCTTTATTAAATTCTTTGAGAAACATTGTGCATTGCGTATGTATTGATACGAACTACCCTACTTAACCTTTAGGTTACCCTACTTTTTAGGTTAAAGAAACCGGTACAAATTTATTTACCTACCTAGCATATGATACTTATTTTAAGAAATTCAATAATATAAATGAAAGGGAGAACACATTTTTTCTTTCAGCTAAACGACATTTTCAATGTCGTCGTATTTACAAGGTATTATTCTTTATACGTTACTTTTATGACCAGTTTGTTGTCTAACATTCATTCTACATTCTACTCTCTTCTAAGATGAGGTTAGATGTACAGCTACCTGATAGGATACAGGTAAGTCGATTTTCGCTCAATATTTTTCCCTTGTTCCTTGTTTCTATCGTAAAATACGTTAGAAAGCACTTGTGCAAATGAGAAAGAGTAAATAATAATAATAAAATTGAAATGACTTTGCAACTGGTTTTCCAATAAAGTTTAGTTATACAATACTATGTCAAAATAATATAACAATGTTTTATTTTTTACATGAGCTTATAACAAATTAATACAGCGTGAAAAATGTTTTCGTAATGAGTAATAAATTTATCATTAATGTCATAACGTGTCAGTATCTCATCTTTGTAGGAGGTGGGCAATTAATTAAGGAAAATGTTTCGAAACATAGATCGCAATTTTGATAGATATATTCGCAATACGTATTGAAATTTTGTTGTTTCGAGATTTCTGTCATTTACCTGTGAAAACGTCTGTCACTGTCTGTGTGTTTACGAGTCGATTATGATCAGCTTTGAGGCTCGTGGATTCAATGCTTAGAAAAAAAAACAAATAAGTGAATAATGAAAATGTTTATTTTTATATTTCATTCTTAATATTATTTTTTTATTTGTTGCCTTTATTTTAATTATATGAAAATGTTAACGGCGTCATCTAAAGACATGAATAAAAGCACAATTAAATGCCCAGCATCACTTCGTTTAATCCAGTTGCTCTTATAAAGACTTTTCAAATTAAGGGCTTATATGAGAAGTAGTCGGAAAAGTTGTACAATCTAAAACCATTTTCAATGGCGTTCATCTTTGGGCCAAAACAAGCAACTTTTTGTATACAATACTCTCATCGTATCACTTTATAAAGATCGCGCAACAAGCAAGAATTTCATTATCTGTTATCACAATTAACAAGTAAGAAAATTAAATTCGGTCAAGACCGAAGCTTTTATACCCATCACCGTTGTCTTAAAAAAGACAAAAGAAGTAAAAGAGCAAAATTTTCGTGGTCTATAACATGGAGTAGGTACAGATGATTTTTTTTATTTTGAATATAAACATTTTTGTCGTAGAGGCATGTGGACGTTGCAGGCGCGTCCATTCAAAACTTTAGGTCTATTCCAAATTCTTTTGCAAAATTTGTAGGTAGTACCTTCATTTTCACAAATGAGAGAATGTTTACCATAATTACTATAAAGTTGCGCAAACAGATAGACGGACATACGAACAGGCAGGAGTCTTTAGGTCTATTCCAAATTTGAAATTGGCCAAGAATTTGTACACTTTTTGGGGTTTTTGATGCTTGTTTCTGCGCATATTAAAGGTATTGAAAAAACAATTAAATTTTGGTACAATGTAATGTTGAGTGGGCGCGGTCTATTTTTTCCATCGGCATTGAGCAAAAAAAAACAATTTGTCATTCCCTTTGAAAAACAGAGGTGTGCTGAGTTTACTTGATATTGTGGGCATGTCCGTCGACCGATGTGGCCCATTTTCAATACCAACCGGCGTCCAAGAAATTCCAATGTTGCCGCTAAATATGAATTCGATAGTTTCAGTTTCGCAGCCAGGAGAATATTTACAACAAATATTACGCAGACGGATAGACGGACATGTTTAAATTAATTTAGAATTTGATGCTGATCAATAATATATATATATATTTTGTGAGATCTCTGATGGTTCCTTCCCTTAATTTAAGCTATCTGTTAAGCTATTTATGTACTGAAAAAAGTTAAAAGGTTGAGTCGATGTCGAATACCGTCACTAATGTATTATTTCAATAGTTTCCTCGTTCATTAGCTGATGCGTGTGTTTATCAGTGTTTACTTTCCATTTTTAAAGTAAAATTAAACTACATTTGGCATTATCTCAAAATTGCGATCCGTACACTGAATAAAAGAAAACAAGAAGGACAAACGGACAGACAGACTTCAATCAATTTAGAAAGTGATTCTAACCCAATGGCTGTAGTAAGAGGTGGATTCATCTTAAGTCCTTTTGTATGTTGGATACATCCGCATAATATACCCTTCTACCACAAGTGATGTAGGGTATAATTTAAGAGTTTAGGGGTAGCGGATGTATTCTTAATATTAAAATAAATCACTTTATTGATGACAACGGCGGGTTTTCCACGAGTTCGTATTCCTGTTCGGGAGACTTTAGGGGAGTTTTCTTTTCTTATTTTATTTTATTACGAAGTTCTTAAATTATTTTTTATCGTTGAATTTACTCAGTATATATAAATATTCAGTTTCGGAATATTTCAAGTGGATATCCTTTTTATTCTCACCGCTGAAAGAGGAAAGAAAAGTATGAAAGTATTTTTTTTTTCCGCTAACCTCTTATTATGAATTACGTTTTTAATACTCTTCTTCGAACCAGTGCCCCGAGGCAATAAATTTTGTAATTAGTTTGTTCGTCTAATTTACAGTCAAGCATGAATTAAATCATTCTGACAGTGTTAGTTACATCACATGAGTAGCCGACCAGCTCAGTTAATCAATCAATGTTTGTCTATGTTTGTAAGATCTTTTGATTTTAATATCCAGCTAATGTCATAACACATGATTCATTACATACACCTCTCAATGTTATTCTAGCGATCCGCTTGTTCTCTTTAAGCTGCTGAGATTTATGAGCACGTATACACGAATAAGTTCTATCAGCCTGTCCGAAAGTTCAAAGACTAGCGACATTTAAATTTTACCGTCATGATGGACAAGACACGGTATGGATGTATGTATCGTGTACTAGAAGAAAATTTCTGCGAGTTTTCATTCGTTGTTTTCAATTCACGTTCAAGGTCGGAGATGTAAAAGTTAGAAAATATTTTATATGTTTATGTAAATATATATGTACTTGAAGGCTCAACAATTTCTTGGGATGTAAGGCAACGGCACCACAACATGCACTTTGCAGCGTATATAGCCTGGGAATTCTCTCCAGACCAAACTCAGTAAAATTTGTTTGTTTGCATAGCCATCGAAATGAAAATGGTTAGAATATGTACTTCTTTCATACACACTCACACACACACGCACACCATGTCTATATGTTACCCTTAAGGTACGCGTTGCAATTTCTGAACACAACATTATTTTTTATTATTCCTTAGAATTGTAGAGAAGGATTATCACACACACACACACACACACACACACACACAACCAATACATACACACAGAAAGCCTACACATTAGTCTTAGGGTACGCGTCGCAATTTCTGAACACAACAAGCTCTTATTGTTCTACTCCTTAAAATTGTTTAGAAAGGTTTCGCTGTACTTTTGGCGCGGAAAGTACGAACAAACCAGGAGGAGCGCAAACCACATATCTATCACTCAGTCTTGATCTACAAAACTATAAAAAAAACAAGATTATATCTGGTTTAGCCCAAAAGGCTATTAAGACAAATGTCTGGCTTCTGTATAATTTTTAACTACAAGATAGATGAGATCATTCTTTTATTTGCCAGATCAAACC